AGAGACACACTGAGAGAGGGAACACAAGCAGGGGGAGTGGGAGAGGGAGAAGCAGGCTTCCCGCAGAGCAGGGACCCGGATGCGGGGCTCAATCCCAGGACCCTGGGATCATGACCTGAGCCGAAGGCAGACGCTTAAACGACTGAGCCACCCAGGCACCCCTTTAAACAACAATTTGCATAATTTTTGTATCTATAATGTTGGCAACTTAACTAGCCTTTCTAAGCCTGTAAGAATCGAATGTGATGATGCATGTGACCCCTCTCGCTCATCCAGACATTGCTCTTACTGACTTCGTTCTTTGTTCTTCGAAATAACTGTTCGATCCCCATCCTGCAAAGCTTTCTCACCCATCTACCTATATTTCCTGCTTGTATTTCTTGTTCCAACAATGCGTTGGGCAATGTCTCAAAGCCAAAAGACAGTTACTCCTGCTGCCGGTTTCCTAATCTACGGTAAGCCTTCGGGAAGCGTAGTGAAATCAGAGTGGTCTCAGAGGCAAATGTGGTTAGTGCACTCTCCAGCCGGCACCTTTTCACCAACTCCTCTAAAGTGCTGTACAAGGCAAAGGGACATGAAGCCCGAGTCAGAAGAGGCTGCAGTTTTCCAGAAAAGACATTATAGCAATCATTATCGAGTGTCTCCTGCTCAGCTTCAGAGGTAAGATGTCTTCCAAGGCCTGAAGTCTCCAAGGTAAACCCTCTAGATTCCCTCTTCAGAGAACGCCTCCTTTTTTATTATCTGTTAGCCATGCCACCCAGTGGGCCATGAGGATGTCTGCAGAGTTTTCTGTATGGTTGCTATGTAGAGATTTGGAACTTTAGCTAAGAGCATGGCTTCCCTTTAGAATTTGATTGTTCCCCTGGTCCCAAAATGTCAGACATAATTATATCATTATATGTTAGGTAAAAAAAACATTAGACATAATTATATAGTTATTTCTTTGGGAAGACGTGGACGTGCACATGCACACACGCCCCTGAGATATGTTAAATCCAAGGGGCTGCCTCCAAATTTGGCTGCCAGCTGTGGGAATGGGATGGTCTGGGCACAACTGAGGTGTGGGATTTAGTGAGTGAGTTTCTGGATAAGCTCAGAGGGATAGTAATGATACCCTACAGCCAGATCCCTAGATTCTGATCCCTCTCTCACTTGTTGGCTGTGTGTTTTTTTGGGAATTGACTTAACCTGCTGATGCTCCACCTTCCCATCTGTAAAATGGAAAGGATCATGAGAGTCGTACCTATTCATATGGATATGTAAGAGAGAAACTGGTTAAATGAGTAAAACACTGTGCTTGACACACAGTAAAAACCAGATGGGTGAACTTAACTGGGGTTCTCAGGAAATCTACACTTCTCCCATTTAGAAAATAAAAAGCTAAATTGAGCAAATTATTGAACATAATTTATTTTGCCTGAAGGCTGAAAATTCTCCCTGTATTTATAGTGATTCTAAAAAGTCAAATGAAATGATGTGGTTAGAATAGATTTCCTCACTCCAGAAGTACTCCGGAGTTTCTCTGTATGAGAGGCTCCAGTCCTTGCAAACGTATTTTCAATAAGGCATGTCTCCATCAGGCTGGACCAAAAATTTATTTATTTATTAAGCATGTATTCACTGAGTGTCCAGCGTGTGGCAGACACGGACCCAGGCACTAGAGTTACCACGTTGGGAAGACAGCAGATACAGCCAAGCATCCAGTCAGTTGAGGCTCAGAAGGGTAAACAGTAGGAAAAGGGAAGCAGAGGACATTCTTAATAACAGGGAGCTTCCTCCAGACTTGGCCAGGACTGAAGAGGGCTTCCTTCGTGAGAAGTGTGGATGTGGGCAGAGAGTCAGTCTGGAAGAAGAGCAGAAATTATCTAGGTGGAGCTTGAGGGGCAACATGTTCAGGAAGGCAGGATTAATACTGAGAAGGAGGGTTTGAGACTTTTGAGAGCTTGATGCTTGGGAGATTAAAAGAAATAAACCATGGCTGGATGGAGCTATGGGTTAGGGAGCGGGAGGCATGAAGCTGGAGTAAGATCATGAAGGAGCACCGTTCCCCACATTACGTGCATTTTAGTGCAGAAGGTATCTTATGTAAAATATGTACTTATTTCCCAGCATGCTTGGTTGGCTCACTCAGTGGAGCATGGGACTCTTGATCTTTGGGTTGTGAGTTCAAGCCCCACATTGGGTGTGGAGATTACTTAAAAAAAAAAATCTTCAAATATATATATACACACACACATTTCCCAATGGAGAAATTTTATTTTATTTCATTTTATTTTATTTTTAAAAGATTTTATTTATTTATTAGAGAAAGAGAGAGAGAGCACAAGCAGGGGGAGCAGCAGGTAGAGGGGAGAGGGAGAAGCATGCTCCCCCCTGAGCAGGGAGCCCCACACGGGGCTCGATCCCAGGACCCTGAGATCATGACCTGAGCCGAAGGCAACACTTAACCGACTGAGTCACCCAGGGGCCCCCCAATAAATTTTAAGTTTGAGCTTTGCAAGGTGATGTTCCAAATAGATAAGAGGGATGTAAAGAAGATTATTCTACATTTAGACATTCTTATTGTACATCCTGATGAGGATTACGTTAGGCATTCATTAAAATGGAGTTTGCTGTAAACTTTTTGATCTTTTCTCATTCTGGGATTCCATGCATAGTATTGAACATGGAAGTAAGGGCACCTTGTCATTTTGCATTTTTCAGTGTTTAAATAGAGCATGTACCTAAATGTTAGCATGAAAATCAGTCTTGGCAGGAAACCGATGAGAGGTAAAATAGCAATTACCAATGTGATAAAGTGAAGGTTAGAATGTATTCTGACTTTCACCTTCTTTGTGCCTTAGTGATTAAATAAGCGTGTCATATACCCACTATGATAGAGAACTAGAAATGTAAATGTTATCCTGGAAGGATGCAGTATGGATTTACTTTGACAAACATGAGTGAAATTATTGGAAAAATAGATCTGCTATACAATTTCCAACAAAAAGTAGAAATTAGGGCGCCTGGGTGGCTCAGTTGGTTAAGCGACCGCCTTCGGCTCAGGTCATGATCCTGGAGTCCCGGGATCGAGTCCCGCATCGGGCTCCCGTCCCGCATCGGGCTCCCTGCTCAGCGAGGAGTCTGCTTCTCCCTTTGACCCTCTTCCCTCTCGTGCTTTCTATCTCTCATTCTCTCTCTCTCTCAAATAAATAAATAAAATCTTTAAAAAAAAAAGTAGAAATTAAGATACTCTTCTAAACTCAAGGCCAGTAGTTTTGGCAGAATTCAGCAGTATGTGATAGATTTGTAGTTAATCCCCTGCTTTCTACCTCAACAATTGTAAAATCAGATAAGCATTTTGCAATCACTTTTTGTTGGAGGACACCATTGTTAACCTTGAAGATCAAACTCAGTTATTTTACTAGCAAAAATGGGTTTATTCAGGAAGAGCAGAGAATTGCAATTTGGGACAGGCAAGCGACAACGAAATCACAGGCAAGTCCAGAAAACAAAAAGGAGGAACTGCTTTTTATATAGAGGGAAAGAAGGGAATTGGGAGTTACTGTTATAAACAAAAAGTCCATTGCAGCAAACTGGGAGTTTGAAGTAGGGTAGTTTTTCATGGGTGAGTTGTAACAGTCTCTCATTGGCTGGACTGATCCTTGCTGGGGTAGTAAAGTAGGGTTGACTTGGAAGATGCCAGCAGCTTTTCTTCCTGTTGGGCCTACAACTCAGGAGGAGTGGTAGGGCATGAGAGCCCTCCATTTTGGCCTCCTGACTCCATTCGAAATAAGGTTTCCCTTTATCAGTTTTTATACTATGAAGTTATATCGTCCAAGATTGAACATACTGTGTATATTTTAGTGATATGTATTTTTTTAAAAGATTTTATTTATTTATTTGAGAGAGAGAGAGAGAGCATGAGAGGGGGGAGGGTCAGAGGGAGAAGCAGACTCCCTGCTGAGGGACTCGATCCCGGGACTCCGGGATCATGACCTGAGCCAAAGGCAATCGCTTAATCAACTGAGCCACCCAGGCACCCTAGTAATACGTATTTCTTAGGTGTAATGATTGAGGTGGTTGTTTGGTGACCCTTATATGTGATACACTAAGTACTTTTTGACACAAGGTAGACTCTAAGTTAAAGCCAACATTTACCAACTGTTTCTTAGGTTAGGGACTTCATACCTTATCAAAGTTGCCCCTTGCAATGTTAATATGAAATTAAAATTGTTTCCATTTACATATGTGAACACTGAGGTTCCCATTACTAGATCACTCAACTAGTAAGTGGCCAAATTCAGACTTAAACTTGGCTCTTCCATGGTGAGTAAACTCTACCCATTGCTATATAGCTGCCCAGAAGGTTATCTTCCATATAGTACTATACAGCATAATGATTTAAAGAAAATGTTGGACCTTAAAGTAGAATGTCTCTAGTAGAGCTGATTCACTTATGAGCTGTGTAAGTTTGGGTAAGTTGTTTAACCTCTCTATGCCTCAATTTTCTCATCTTTAAAGTGGGAATAATATTGCAACATAGACTGTGGGGAGCATTAAATATGTTCACACATTCGCAGCAACCAGACAGCGTTTGTCATGTAGAAGTAAGTACTCAATAAATTATACTTATTATTATTATAGGAATATGACCAAAGTCATCTTCCTCACCTGAGTTCAGAGCTCAGTGAAACCATCTGTCTCGTTGTCTAGGATTGATTTGAAGAGAGAGGGGGCTATGTAATGATGTATATGTGCATATAAAAATGAGAAGGGGATCACTCTTCACTGTTTCAAAGTTAAATGAGGCACCCAGACTTACTACAATAGTCTGATGATTACTACTCCAAGACGAAATGAAATTCAACCATGTAAATTGTTGCTCCGTTTGTGAAGTCATTTTGATGTACGGACAGAATTGAACCCTTCTGTTGCACTCAGAAAATATTAGCTAGTGGCAAAGGGGAAAACGTCAGACCTTTGGACTTCTTTTCTGTGACAGCCATCAATAACCCCAGATGGCCTCCCAAGAAGTTGGTAATGCAGAACCTGGGAAAGCCTCAGCAGGTTGTCCCCCAGCAAGCCAGGCGGAATCAGAGTTGATCTACCAGCCCACTGATGAATTGCAAAATCACCAGGAGAAACTACAAGCCCTTGGGGTATTTCAACCTTAGTTTAAAAATTAGAAAAATTTTGGAATTTTTCTACTAATTGGAAGAAAATAAGTATGTAGAAAACCTTGTTTATTCCCATAAGGAAGAATCTGAGTTATTCATCACTGAGTCAATAATGTGCTTCTTTAAGAAAAGACTGGGGCCTATTTTAGACCTGGGGAGTAGGAAACAACCTATCAACATTGGAGAATGGACTCCAATCTGACCGCCACATCAGGAGGCTGAGTTCTTATGAACTCATATTCTGTAATTTAAATTTAAAAATTGCGTTATGGCCCTAAAATATGCTAGGAAGATATCTGACCCCATCTGTGTTACCAGCCATGTTGCCTCTACTCTTCTGCCACTTTCTGGAAGGTGTTTGTGAGAATGAACAGGAGCAGGGGGAGAGGGGGAGATGAAGGGCTGCCCCTGGGATCGGTGGGGATAGCACAGGATGAAAACCTCCCAGGGTAAGTCAGGCTTGACTTTATAATCATTTCAAGCACTGATATCTCCTTTCTGAAGAAAATTAAAATTGTCTCTTCTCCACTTACACTAGTATATGACCATTATTTGCACACCACCCCCCCCCCCCTTCTTACAGGCCATCCAGATCCTGAATGGAGCAACGATTCTGGTCCTGGGTGTTTTTCTAGGTTCTTTACAAAACCTATTCCATCTCTTCAGTCAGTTTTTCTTTATCTTCTACACAGCCTATCCACTGTGGGGTCCTATATTTGTGAGTATTCATACTCCCCCTGACCAGAGTTCACTGCTTAAATACCACTGCTAGAAGTGTGTTTGATTACTATAGTGTCATTCTTAGGTGATTTGAAGATTGCCTGCTATGGGTTTGATTTGTAATTCTTTACACATATTTTAAAAACAAAGTGCCTGTGAATAGTGCAAGACTGTTGAATCACAGATCTGTACCTCTGAAACAAGTAATACAATATATGTTAAAAAAATAAATAGAAGAAGGTAGCAGGAGGGGAAGAATGAAGGGGGGGGAAATTGGAGAGGGAGACGAACCATGAGAGATGATGGACTCTGAAAAACAAACTGAGGGTTCTAGAGGGGAGGGGGGTGGGGGGATGGGTTAGCCTGGTGATGGGTATTAAAGAGGGCATGTATTGCATGGAGCACTGGGTGTTATGCACAAACAATGAATCATGGAACACTACATCAAAAACTAATAATGTAATGTATGGTGCTTAACATAATAAAAAAAAGTAAAAAAAAAAAAACCAAACAGAAAAACTAAGTGCCTTTCTGATTAAGAGAAGTCATATTTGCTGAGTACAACTTAAGTCCCAAACACTGAGTTAATGCATTCATGTATTAAACCCAGGTATTATGTTTATGGATACTAAGAAAATCAAATGAAAACTGAGTATTGGTGAATTGTATTGTGTAGCCAAGAGAAGCCTGCTTTGGGACGTAAGAGATTTGCCTGCTGATTACAGTCTGGAAATCAGAAGACTGATTTCCCCTATCTGGGTCAAAATGTAATCAATAAAATAAGCTTTGGTCATAGGTGATCTTAAAATTTATTTATTTAGCTTTGTTATTTGATTATCACCTACCTGATGGTTTACTTTTTAAAAAGGTGACTAGTAGGAAGTGTTTGTTAATTAGGCAGGACTTGTTTTGTTTGTAGATTCTGGTGTTAGAACTTTTGAGAATTTGTATGTGTTTGGTCTCAAACAAAGATGCTACCATGACATAGCAAAGATGGGAAAGTTTAGTTGAAAATAGTAAATGGAACATGTAATTGGCAAATGAAGAAGAAAGAAACTTATAGTAAATCTTGGGCTCTGATTTATTCAAGCTTTGATTTTTTTTCAAAATCATTGACCTTCAGCTGTCCTTTAAAACAAAATTGCTCATCATCTGGCCAAAATTTCTTGACCCAAAACAGATCTCATATTTTGACAAAAGATTATATTCAGTTTCTGGATATAGTCTAACACATGTAATTTAGATTTAACATTTCTGAAATGTTTAGGTAGTTAATATGATCGTTTAGATGACCTAGTTAGAATCTGGATTTTTTTCTAGAAAACCGGGAGTACACATTTTCTCTGCATCGTGAACCCTGACTATCTAAATGGGAAATTTCCATGTTGTAGAAAAGAGAACAATGAAGGGTTTCAGTTATTCAGTTGGAAAAGAGTATTCTTTTCTCAGAAAGCTGAGGTCAGTTTATTGAAAAAAAGTGGTCAGGGAACCAGAGCTCACTCTTTTAAGGCATCCTCAAGACTAAGATTCAAATCTGACTGTTGAATTCCCATTGCCGGAAGCTTTTCTCTGGCTCTGTATAACCGACGGAGCAGTCTAGGATCCATGACATGGAACAAAGCCTTTGCTATCTGGTCTTACATGCAACTATACCGTAGTCTCCCTCCCCTTCCTTCTGTATACATGCCCTGCTATATATACAACAATCTTCCTCTTACTAATCCTTATTAAACCGTGTGACTTTAGAAAAGATATTTAAGCTCTTACCCTTCAGTTTCCTAGGATAGTAGAGATAATACGAGGACCTTATCTTTGGGTCACTATGAAATTAAAAGGAAAAAAAAATATGAAAACCTTAGCTATTATTAATAATATGAGTGCTTTGTGTATGCTGGGCCCATATCTAGGACCTTGCCATGTATTATTTTATTTTATCACCATATAGCAATAAGGTCTGTGACATTAACATGGGGATATGCACATCTCTATTTTACAGAAAAAGAAACACAGGCAAAGAGGGGCATGACACTGCCTCAGGTTATAGGATGAATACAAGCTGAAGACTGCATCAGGACACAGAGCGCATGCTCTTGGCCATGACGCTCTAGTGAGCCTGGAGTTTCTTGTGATAACCACTTTGTTATTTGAAGTGGAATTCAAAACCTGTTCCTTCATGTTCAAACAGATTTCAAGAATTGAATTTATGTAGCAAGCTTTTGCTCTCCACGATTTTGGCAACTTTGTCTTCAAACCCTAGGAGTGGCTTGGTAAATTGTTGTAAGATTTATGGGGTATAAAACAGAATGAAGTTTTAAGAAAACCATGAACTTGTAGAGAATTCAATATGTCAAATTAGAGTCACGAAAACAATAGCTTATCAAAAATAATCATTTAAAAATTAGTGGATATATCAATATAAACAGATTTGCAGAAGTTCTTTTAGAACATCTGATCTAATAAATCAGACCCTTATCTGAAGCCTGGGTAAGAACATGAGAATAATGTTACATATGCATGTGTATATAAATAAATATTATTGGGGCACCTGGGTGGCTCAGTCGTTAAGCATCTGCCTTCAGCTCAGGTCATGATCCCAGGGTCCTGGGATCGAGCCCCGCATCAGGCTCCCTACTCCGCAGGAAGCCTGCTTCTCCCTCTCCCTCTCCCCCTGCTTGTGTTCCCTCTCTCGCTGTGTCTCTCTCTGTCAAATAAATAAATAAAATCTTAAAAAAAAAAATATTATTTACATTTACTATAAATAGAAGCATAAAGATAATTATGTTACATTAAATATATGTATTTATTATATTTTTAAAGTATGTACACTCATATAACCTATAAAAAGCTAGACATAAAACATAATGAAAATATTATATATTTGCTCAAAATTTTAACTAATTTAAAATTTTATTGCTATAACATGATGAATGACATCGAGTATAATTCCACGTGGTAGAATGTGAATTTAAAAAAGAAACTTTGTGCAACCATTGCTAGATAGCTACTAATTGAAAGAGTACAAAGAAAAAATAGTTGAGACTTAGTATTTTCTTATCTGTTTCATTTCCTGTGTTCAAACAGTTCATTGTTTCAGGATCCTTATCTGTTGCAGCTGGGAGAAAACCCACAAGAGTGTTGGTAAGTGGCAGTTCTTCTTGTCTTCCTTTGATCATAGGACTAGAAATGAGTTATTCGTTAATAGCAGGAGAGTAGAGGTTGGTGAATCTAACTGAGACACTGAGTTTCATGTAATGCATAAGAAAATTCTCTTTTCTTAAGGCGTTCAGATGGTCAATTATCAGAAAACCATAGAGATTCGAATGATTATTGGGATGGTTACCTTGAATATTTGATGAATCTGAAGCTCAGAAAAAGGCTTCTTGATTTTTTTTGTGTCGTGAAACTTGACCAATTCTAATTACTTTGAGCATACACTTTCCACCACTAATTCTACAACTGAAAGCCAAAAGTTCTATTCCTTTAGTGATTCATTAAACACTTTACTACGCCCTTGTTCTGTGTTCTATCTGAATCATCTGCCCAGCTACGCAACTTCCCTAGCTCATTCACTCTGCCCCCTCCCTGGATGGCCACCTCAAACACCAATCCCTTTTCTCTCACCTTTATTCTCTATTGATGACCTTGCTTCCTATTCTGAGAAACTCAAATCATTAGAGAAGAATGTTCAGACCCCCACTCTAATATCCACTTCGTGGACCAGATCTGTACCCTTTCTCTTTTCATTCTAACCTCTTACAGCAGGTGACCTCTCTATGATTTTCTTCAAAGCCAGTATCCCTAAACTTGAATACTAGAGTCCTTTCTGTTTTTTTTTTCCCACCCAAATGCACCACTCCAAATGTCTTTCTGCTAGATCTTTTTAATCAGCCTATAAGCATCCAGTTACTGCTCTAAACAGAAAAAAAATATTTTGACCTTATTGTCTCCTGATAGCTATGTGCACAATTTGCTTTTCCTTCTGTAGCTAAGCTCTTTAAATGGATTATCTGTACTGTCTCCAGTTCAAATCTACCCAGTTTCAACTAAACCCATTCCAATAAGGGTTTTTTTTCTTCCCTATCCCATCTCCATAATCATTCTGCTTAAGATTACTGAAGATTTCTATGCTGACAACACAAAGATCAATTCCCAGTTCTTATCTAACTTGACTCATGAGCAGCATTTAGCACATAGTTGGCCACTCCTCCTTCAATAATTTCTTCACTTGGCCTCTCGAACACTTTGATTAGCTGGTTTTCCTCCTGTCTTTTCAGTGTCTCCTTCTCAATGTCCTTTCCTAGTTCCTTTGCTTCTCTCTGACCTTTGAAGGCTGGGGTACCCCAGAGGTCAATCCTTTGTCACCTGCCGTACTCATTCCTTTTGTGACCTCATCCATGCTCATGGCTTCAAGTGACATCTGTATGCCTACAGCTGTGAAAAAATACTTCCAGCCTCGATCTCCCTCCTGGGCAACAGGCTGGCGGATCTCATGGCTTCCACTTAGAGTTCTAAAAGCCCCAAAACTCTACTCCTAATCTTCCTCAAATCTTCCCCCTCCACTGTCCTCTCCATGTCCACTGATGAGAACTCCCTCCTTCCAGATTCCCAGACCAAAAACCTGAGAATGACCCCCGATTTTTCATTCTTTGACAATCTTGAATCCAATTTGTCAGCAAATCCTATTGGCCCTATGTTCAAGCTCAACCCAAGTTTGACTGTTTCTCATCCAGTCCACCACCATCTTTCTTAATTGGGCTCCTTGCTTCTACCCTCGGCCTTCTCTAAACCAGTGCCGCTTGAGACGCCATTGTTCCCTTTGATATGTTCATCTAATTGTGTTGCCCCTTTGCTCAAAGTCATCCAGTGGCCCTGTGTTTTCCTCAGAGTAAGAACCAAAGTTCTTTTCGAGACCTGCAGGGCCAGGTGTGATCCAGCTCTCCTCTTTTTCTTCATCTTCAGTTCCTCATATTGTTGACTTTGGCCACTCCCCTCTAACCATCCACCTTGTGCTCTTGCTTCCCGGAAACATGCCTGCAACACTCTGGCTGGAGGGCTCTGAGCTGTTTCCTTGCCTGCAAGGACTCTCCTCCGGTTACCCTCTTGTGTGTCCCACTTGGCTCCTCACTGCCTCTTCCTGGGCAACATTCCTATTAATATCACCATCTCCACTCCTTGCTGGATGTCCAGGTCCTCCTCACTCCACTCCATTAGCCTGCAATACTCAACCCCTTTTAAAAATACTATGTAATTTACCTATTTGTAGGCTTAATTGTTTTCTTTGTCTTTGCTGCTAGAATGTAAGCTCCGTGAGAGTATGGATCTTTGTTTGTTCATTGATGTGTGCCCAGCATCTAGGATGATGCTGGGTGTGTAAACAACCTTAAATCGATATTTATTTAAATGAATCACCACCAAAGGAAAGAAGGATGTGCTTCCTGTATTAACTGAAAATTCCTATTCTTTTTTTAGGTGCAAATCACTTTTGGAATGAGTATTGCCAGCACTGCTCTGGATCTAGTTGGGTTTGTTTTCCTCTCAGCAAATTTGGCAGTTAATAAGCAGTCTTTCAAGAGTTGTGAGTCTTCACAGTCACAGGACTTAGGCATTTTCGTGGGCATCTTTTCAAACGTATGTTTTCAAAAGTTGTGTTTAATTAGAAAATATTTCAAACAATCTAAAATGTACAGAAGAATAATATATCAGGTATCCTGCGACCTTGATTTGAATCTGGGCTTTGCCACTCATTAGCTCCGTAATGAAAGTCAAGTTAGACAATCTTTCTGTGCTTCAGTTTACTCACCTTTCAAATGAGGATGGTAATAGTATCAGTCTCACAGAGTTGGTGTAAGGATTAAACAAGTTAATATTTGATGAACAGTTAAAACAGTGCACATTGTGTTATATTATTAATATTTATTACTGCTACTATTATACTCTCCAGAGAGATTAAATTGAAAAAAAAAATTTCTTTCACATCTTCCTTAATAAAACTGACTTGGAAGATTTACAGTGTTCTCTGTGGTCTGGGATTTTCAAATCATGACTCACTTTTGAATTTTGGGGGCTATTTTATTTTTAAAGGGAAGTTCCTTAAGAACCTTTTCAAATGATTTTGTTGTTTGTGTGAGATAATCTCTCTCTTCTGAGGTCCACTTAGAATTAAGATTTTCCTTCAAATTTGCCTATTTTCTCCATGATGACCTATTTTTACTGACTGACTCCCAGTCCTCCTGTGTGCTGGCATAGAAGTTTGTGCCTCATTTTTTTCTAAATTGTATTTTTAATTATCTAAGTTTATATTTATATGGGTCTGATTTTTTTTTTTTTCCTGTGGGTTTCATAGTATTTTCCCTCCGGAGCAATTTTGTATTTGCTTCTTCAAGGTGCCTCAGTGATAATAGAAGAATCGCTAATCTAGTAATTTTGTGTTTAATATTTCAGCTTAGTGTTTAGTTTCTAGCAATGATGTAAATGCACAAACCCTCTAATGAAGTTCCGTTAATGAAATGGTGGAGGGGTCATTTTTGTCTATTTTCCTGAACTTCCTACTCATCTCCCTAGTTTGCTATGACTCAAATTAGTAAATGTTAGTGAGAATATCAGCATTTTACCTCTATGGTTTCTTCCCCCTATGACTACTTCATGTGGGTTGATAAAGAAATGCAATGTGTCTCTCTCTCCAGGGAAAATATTTCCATGTTTTTAGGGTGACAAAGTGTCTCTTATAGAGTGTTGATGTGTGTCTATGTCTTACACCTAATCTATGGTTCACTTTGTTCTGTTTTAAGGGCGGGAGACATTATATTTGGTTTCCTGATGATATTTTTTTCCCTCTGAATGTTTGTACTGGGTTTGATATGAGGAATCATATCCCCTAGGGCCTGATGTCCCTAATGCTGATCCTTACCTTGCTGGAATTATGCATAAGCATCTCTGTCTCAGCCATGTGATGCATAGAAAGCTCACGTAATTTGATTAAGTTGGGTTTGTTTCCATGACTAATAATTCACATAGTCTGCTAAGGCTTGAGGTTCTCTCTGAGTCCCAGAATTAGAAAGACATGTTTATGCGGTAATGATTTGTGGGGTTCCTGGAGTTGGAGATGGTATGAACATGAGGGATGGAATGAAGGCTGGAATATGAGGAAACAGTGTATTTAATGTAATATTCAATAATGTTAGAGTAATATAATTTGTATAATAATAAATTAAAATATCAATAATAATACAACTACTACAATATAATGAATATTATAATAACATTTAGTATATTTTTATACAGATATAATTAAGTTCAATTATTTCCTTGTAACTTGTCAGTTTCTAGGTGTCTAGCCAGGAAAAAATTATTAATTCTTTCCAGATTTTAGGTAACTCAACTATAAGATGAAAACATTTTCATTCTCTTCTGGTGTTTGTTGTGAGAACAATGTACATAAAACTTCAGCACAGTAATAATCAGCAATCACAGGTTATTGGTGATGATCATGATGATTAAGGAAGGGATGGAGGGAGAGGGAGGGGATGATCCTATTCTTGGACACTGATGTTTTATTTTCCAGGTGATTTCCTTTCCTTCCAATTCTGTGTAAGCAGGAATGCCTCCTGATGAAAATAAGTCTGAGAGCAAGGAAATTCAAGCTTAAATCTCCAGTGAGTCAGAGCTTCATCCAAGAACTCAGGAGGATGGGAGCCTGCAAAATGTAATCCTACTCTCTTAGGGCACCAATCATGAGAAACTTGAATATTTGACTCCGTTTTTTTCTGTTCTAATTATAAACTCCATTAGTATGTTTGGATATGGAAGGAAAAATACACTTCTTTAGACATTCTTGGTTTCATAACTTCTGTGATCACCACTCCAAAGTTGTTCCCAGAATCAGTGCTCTTTCTTCTTACCCACCTACTCCACTGCTTTATAAGGTTTAAAGAAGCCAAGTAGAAGAATTCCTGTTTTATGTATTCTCTCTAAACCCAACTCCCAACCATCCACTGAAAAAGAAAATGAGTCAGATTTTTTTTTCACTGCAGAAAAACACTTCCTGACTTTAGCTGACATCAGTATTGTAAAAACTTAAATAAAAATCCATCATTATCATCAAAATATATTTTTACTACATTTGAGGTGGGAGGGTCAAGCCTCAGAGATTTTATTTCAGTCGGCTTCTGAGATTCCAACATGCCCTGATACAGAAATGATGGTGTAGACTGGGGACTTTGAGAGCAATATCAACATTTGTTCTTCAAAGGATGGTGAGAAACTATAGAACAGAGAAGTAAAAAATAAGGCTTTGGAATCTCACAGATCTGGCTTTAAATTTTGATACTATCACTTACTACCCATGTGAACTTGAGCAAGTTACTTAATCTCCCTGACCTGTTTTTCCTCATCTATGAAATAGGTGTGATAATATCAGTGACCTCCAGGCACCTGGGTGGCTCATTCAGTTAAGTAACCTGCTCTTGATTTCAGCTCAGGTCAAGATCTCGGGGTCCTGAGATCGAGCCCCACATCAGGCTCCATGCTTAGTTCAGAGTCTGCTTGAGATTCTCTCTCTCCCTCTCCCTTTGCCCCTCCCACCTCTTGTGCTTTCCCTCTAAATACATACATACATACGTACGTACGTACGTACGTACATACATAAAATCTTAAAAAAAATCAACGACCGTGTCAGTTGTTATGAGGGTTGAACAAAGTATGGCAAAGGCGAAATAGACCCACAAGTACTAAATAATGCTGTTATTGGTGCTGCCGCTGCTGCTGTTAAGGCTGAGGCGGGATGGTGGTCAGATGTGCAGGGAAGATGGCAAAAACTCTCACTTCCGTTGTGGCTCCTCCTATCCCCCAGTGATATTAATGGCTATCTTTTCAAGGTGGCAGTTTGATGTTAAAGCTCCTTCTGATATATCTGGTTCCTGATTTATCTACTGCTGAAGTGCTTATGTTTCACATTTATAAATGAGTTCCCTTTTCTTGATACTAAAATGAGTCATTTGTCCAAAAATTCATACCCATGGGCTACTCTTAGCTCCTTGTTTACCATATGTGCAAAAATTCTTTCACCCTCTTCTCAACTAATTGTTGCCTCTCTTCTTCAGAGCACACACACACACATACACATAAATATATATATATATTTTTATCTGCTTTTTAATCCATTCAACAATATCTAGGGAGTGTCTACTATGTGCATGTTCTGTGCTACAAGTTTAGATACAATAGAGAATGATGGATAGTTTCTGCTCTCAAGTTGCTCATAGTGGGATATATAGACCCATGGAAATATGTAATTACAACATGGAGTAATAAGGGCATTGATAGGAAGAGTATAGGAATCTGGGAAGATATAGGAAGAGTTTCAATCTTAGGTTCGAGGAGATAACACTTTTTTTTTTTTTTTTTAGAAAACTTTTCCTCTAAACTGAGGTCTTAAAGATGACTAGAATTGGCATGATGAAGGGGGATGCACGCAAAAGTCTTTAAGCTGGGGAGAATTGGGGATATTTAGGGAACTAACAAGAGAGTTTAGTGTATCTATGCTGTGTGAGGGGCAGATGGCCAGATAAAACTTTGGAGAGGGAAAAAGTACACACATCACAGGTTTCCATAAGACAGAGCAGCTCTTTGAGTCTTTAGAAGCAATTGAAAATTGTCTGTAGTGGTGTTGAGCTGGCTTATGTAGACTTGTGAGAGCTGATTTAAAATTTTCAGGGATCAGGGCGCCTGGGTGGCTCAGTTGGTTGAGCGACTGCCTTCGGCTCAGGTCATGATCCTGGAGTCCTGGGATCGAGTCCCGCATCGGGCTCCCTGCTCGGCGGGGAGTCTGCTTCTCCCTCTGACCCTCCCCCCTCTCGTGCTCTCTCTCTCTTTCTCTCTCTCAGATAAATAAATAAAATCTTTAAAAAAAATTTTCAGGGATCACAAGTTCATATATTTTTGGTGGATTGAAATTGGCTGTGGTGGTAGTATTTATACCTCAGAGATTGGTAAGCCACAAATCACATTCCCACCCCCATCTTCCAACTCTGGAAGGCCAGTTGAATATTTACAGCACACCACTGGATAAATATGGACAGGGCATGCACTTACTTGAAATTTAGAGATATCCTTTTAGTTGCAATGTAGAGTGTATGGGAAGGAGTTAGTGGAGAAGAGGTTGATTAGGAGTCGGATACAGTACACAAAGCAAATGATGGGTACATATAGACTTCAGCAGAAGAAAAAAGTTATTTAGAGTAACATTTGTATTATCATTTTTAATTATTTCTACTTTTCTCCTCTAAGATGTTATAATTAAATAAGTAATTTCTTTGTATTTTCCCACAGATAATCTGCTAACAAATTTTGATCAAAACATATTGACATCCTGTAGTGGACATTGTGATTGTCTTTCTGGCAGCCATTCTAGCTGTCCCCAGCTTGATGGTAAACTCAAGATTTTGGTAGGGTTAACCTCACCCTGGGCTGCAGGGCTCACCATGGGAATTCTGAACCCATCAGAACACTTCCATTCTTGATTGTATCAGCCCATGAAATGTCCCTGGACCAGGGCTTGATTCAGTTGTGGAACCGTCAACATTAAGTTGGAGGGTTTTTACAAATGTAAAATACAACCTTCCCTTTCATCATATTTGTGAATTAAGCTACAGCTAGAACTAGTAGCTATTAGTGGCCATGGCAAAAAACTAACCTGAAGGCAATGTAAGAGAATTTCAGAAAATAGAAATCAAACCCTAACCTAACCACACCTGAAATTTAAACTACATCTGGAATTAAAGTTTCATGAACACATTTTGTTTTTATTGTTAAACATTTGTTGCAAATATATTCTCCCATTCTGATTGTGTTTTGTTTTATTTTGGTGTTTTTTGTTACCTCTTGTTTTGCTTCCACCCCAAATTGTTGTTGTAGTTATATTTACTCACTTTTCATCATGATTTATGCATTTTGTGTTTTGTGCAAGAAACCCTTCCTTACCTCAAGTCCATGGAGATTTTCTTTTTATATTATGATCTTTAATATATCTGTAATTTTTCTATAGAGAGTAACATCATCATCATCATCACCATCATCCTCCTTTTGGAAAGCTAATAATTCTAGAAATTTTCAGTTGAATATCTCTTTATTTGCCATACTGATGTTGACATACATGCATGCATCTACCCAGAGCCTCCTATTTCAGAGACTTTGTTGTTGTGAAAATACCACATTGTTTTAGTTGTACAACATAATTACTTTTTGGTAGTATGGACATTTAACAGTATCAATTTTTCCAATCCATGAGCATGGAATATATTTCTATTTATTTGTGTCATCTTCAATTTCTTACATTAATGTCTTACGGTTTTCAGTTATTCTCCTTAATTATGGGATTTTTCCTTTCAGGATCTTGCTCATCTTTTATTATATTTACACCTACAAATGGGGGCAAATTTCTTTCTTTTTAAAAGATCAATATATATCCTTAGTCTCTTCTCATCTGAGACACTTTCTCAGACTACCCTTGTTTTTCATGACTTTGACATTTTTGAAAACACTGTTCTGGTATTTTGTAGAATGTCTTCTCAGTGTGGGTCAGTCTGATATTATGCCCCGATTCAACTAGATTTATGGTTTTGGGGGAAGACTTTCATAAAGTTGAAGTACCCTTCTCATCACATCATGTAAGGATACCCAGTATATTCATATCAACATGGCATCATTAATGTAACCATGATTACTTAGTTAAGGTGGTGTCTGTGAAGGGGTTCAGAACAAAGTCTCCCCAAGATGTGCCTCTTTAGCTTGTAGACTGTTTTGAGCTGAAGGCAATCAAGACCCTGTGGGCTCAAGAGAAAGTTTTGTCTCTCCCTTAACTACCTAGAGGGATCTAAATTGGAGATCTTTCCCAGAATAAGAGTTATTGCCAGAGATAAAATTATTTTTTAAAGATTTATCTATTTATCTGAGAGAGAGAGAGCATGCACGAGCAGGGGGAGGGGCAGAAAGAGATGGAGAGAGAGAATATCTTTTTTTTTTTAAGATTTTATTTATTTATTTGATAGAGATAGAGAGAGGGAGAGCACAAGCAGGTGGAGGGGCAAGCAGAAGGAGAGGGAGAGGGGAGGGAGAGGGAGAAGCAGGCTCCCCGCTGAGGAAGTAGCCCGACATGGGGCTCGATCCCAGGACTCTGGGATTATGACCTGAGCTGAAGGCAGCCACTTAACCGACTGAGCCACCCAGGCGCCCCTAGATAGAGAATCTCAAGCAGACTCCCCACTGAGTGTGAAGCCCGACACAGGGCTCGATCTCATGACCCTGAGATCATGACCGGAGCTGAAATCAAGAGTCAGACGTTCAACTGACTGAGCCACCCAGGCGTTCCACCGAAGATAAATTTTATGTGAGTGACCCATCTGTATGGCAGGGCAAATATCTAATTACTAAACATCTACCCTCCTTATTGCCCTGTGATTTTCCTTCCCCCTCTTTGAAGCCCCAGATCCTTATCCCATTCCTTAGCTCAAGATGGCTTATATACCTCATTTTACCTTTTTGTCTTTGTACCTCTCATATATGTGGAACTCTCGTACATATGAAATTAAATTTGATTTTCTCCTGTTAATCTGTCTCATGTCAATTTAATTCTTGGACCAGCTGAAAGGAACTTTGAATGGTAGCATTTTTTTTAGAACAGAGTACATGGGTGGGTCTCTAGTTTGAAAATGCTACTGAATATCCAGTAGAATTAATGCATAAAATTTACATTAAATCTAAAAATCATGTATTTTTACCTTTATGGATTAAGAGAAATTATAAAACTTTCCAGAGAAAAACTACATGACACATACAAATATTTGTGATTTTGTAAATAATTGTAAAATCACATTGGAATTGCCAAAATGAACTCTAGATGCTAGAAGAAAATGGAGTGAATGATTCTGAGTAAAAGAATATTTTCCATTTCAAACACTATACTTCTCTAGACTTCAATCAAGTACGGGGGTGTAAAAAAGGAAATATCAGGCCAGCAAAACCTCAAAAACTCTTTATCTCCCAGATACCCTTTCTCAGCACGTAACTGGAGTTTGTGTTCTACTGGGACCACGAGAAAATAGAAATGGAACTAGGGAGCCCGAAAGGGGGCGCTCTTGCACAATACCACTCCCCGCAGCCTGCGTTGCCCGCGGGAAGAAGGAAGATGATTACTTTAGCAAGGGAGGATGTTTTCACATAAGAATTTTATCTCTTGCTTGTAAGAAAAAGAATAAAGATCTCTCCCAGCCCCTGCAACAACGCACTAACCACAGCTTGCAGCCAGTGAAAAATCGCCACAACCTCAAATCCTTGTTCTTCTCCAGTGAACTTTTGTTCAAAACAACCCTCCCCAGTTTCCTTCTAAAACCTATTAAAAGTTGACCTCCCCTTGTTTTTCGGACTCACCTACAGTTTGCCATCCTTTGCTTGTTCCAAATTGCGATTCTTCTGCTATTCCTGAATGAACTCATTTTGCTGGTAAAATAACTGGCCATTTTATTTTTCTGGTTAACATTTCCAATGTGCAAGAGTACACGAAGCAAGAGAAAAAAATGGGATCAGGGAAATAGAGAATCCAGTATAAGACGGGATAATGGGAAGTCCTACAATGACACCAGTGTGGCATGCTTAGAGGCAACCAGTTCAGACTGGAACAAGGGCAGACAGGTGATCCAGGAAAAATCTGTGCTACCTCATTCTCCAGGGTTAGCGATGGGAAAAAGAGGGCTGACAGGCAATGTATACAACACTCAGAAGTTATTGGAGGATAAAATTACATTTTCAAAAATAAGCCGATAAAGAATAGGAAATTATGCAAAGTTTTGGAATAATACTGAAAACAGTAAAAAATGATTTTGACCAAATGTTCCAATATGGTTATAGTAGGAGGGCAGGGGGAAAGGCAGAAGGGTTTAGGAAAGCTCATCATTCATAATAGAAATAGGAGTTAGTGTCTGCCCTTTGCCTATGATTCTAGGTGTCTCATTCTCCCCACTGAGCAGATGTTTTTGGTCACAAGAGAACAAATATATTACTTGTAATTTTCCCTGTTAAAGTGCCATTTGGGGAACTAGAAGGAGTGTAAGCAGATAGAGAACAAACACATGCAGGACCTTCACAGTTGAGTGGCCCGGAAGGAGCAATGGCAGATCAGCTTCAATCTCAGGAAGGGTTCAAAGCGATTTTAAGTCCCTGGGTTGTCTGTGTAAATCTTTTTCTTTGCATTTCTGAAGTCATAAATGAAGAGACAAAGAGGCTTTCGCTTTTAGTTCCACCTGTCCGGTTTTGTGAACAATATTTTCTTATTTCCTTCCTTTTTATAACCCAACTTCCCATGGAACCCTTGGTGTTTGGTGTCAGTTTCAGCCTTTCTGGGCCTCTTAAAGAGAGAGACAAAGGGACACAGAGAGAGAAAATGAGGGTGTAATGATTCCTTTGGGAGTATCAGAAAATACCCCCTAAGAGCTGACATCTTTCCATTTGTAATATGAAAATTGGTGCATATTTATTTTAAGCAAATGGAGCATTCAGTCGGAGAAAACAATTGTTCAGATGGGATCTGAAAGCAAATCTCTTCTGAGTTTGGAAGAATAAGTCCAGCGTGTACTGAGAGAAGAAACTGCTTGTGGAACGAAGGTGTGCTGATGGAAAGCATGTGCAAATGCACTGCTGGATGGATATACACGCCCTGTGGTGCAGGAAATGATCACTCTATTATCTCTTTCTTTCTGACAGAAGCATGATTAAAACTCATCTTGATAATCTTGCCTCCACCAAAAAAAAAAAAAGTCATATTGGCATATGTTTCAATGTTCACAATTGTGAAAGACAACACCACATGTTCTAAGGGCTCAAATGTGGGTACAGGATTGGGTAAGCATCTCAAGAGGGACAGAAGGAGGTGCTGGTGAAACCGAGGGTATGAAGCAAGTTAGGGGCCATAAGATATGTCTCAGTTTCTGGTTCGCATTTTGCAAGTTTCTATTGAAAATTCTCACAAAACAGTAACATGTCCAAACACCAAAGACCATCCTCCCTTTGTTTTCTGTCTAAACCTCAAGCTTAATTTCTAATTATTTGCTGCACACACAATGCACTATTACATGCTCCCAGAAAACACCACCAACGGGCATTTCCTCAGGACTTTTGCCAGCAGATGTGGTCTCATTCTGCAGATGAAAACCCTTGAGGGCATGATTTTAAGTCCTGGCTCACATGATACTTTCTCAGGGAATCTCTTCCTTGAATTCTGCACACCCTTTAGCAGGTAGAATTGTTACATCTTCTGTGTGTCCCAGCAGCGTCTGAAATATTAGTAACATGACCTCATTTATCTCTGACCTAGTCTTCTAGCTTGTGAGAGTGAGCAGGACAAGGGCTGGTACCATGGTATCCACCTCTGCATGCTCAGTGACAGAGAAGTGCCTGACCTAGAGACCGAAGTCCTTTTTGGATGAATGTGTACATAAAGAAGTTTCATTCCTTAATTTCGATAACACATTGGTTCAGTCCACAAGTTCCCAAAGACACGGTGGGAAGATGGCACATGGCTTAATACATTTTTGTCTTGAAAGGTACGCTCATATATCTTTTAATGTGCTCTGTTCACACACATACCTTAGTTTCCTGGAGAATGAGGAGAAGTTTCATCACATCCCAGAGAGACAATACAGGTGACTAGAGGGGCAATTTGGAGTATCTTACAGTTGAAGGAAGAGCCACTCAGGGGTATGTCTATAATTAAACTGAAATAAAATAATCCCAAATCTGTGAATCTCACCTGTGTATTAATTTTGCCATGTATTCATTTTTTTTTTTAGCTAGTTATGCTATTAAGATGAACACGTCAGTTAAGCTCTGACCCTAATTTAGATACAGGGCTCCGTCCAATGCTGCTTAGATCTACTCATAGGATTTGTTATCAAGTTCAAGCCCCTCGGTGCTTCATGGCCACATCCTTGCCATCACAAAAATCAAAGCAGCAGAGAGTCTGTGTAATGTTTAGCAGTCCAGGGAGTCTTTTGTGTGAACACTTAGCTCCCACACTCTATCAGGAGTGGCTCAGAGCATTCTTCTGTCCAGTCTCTGAGCCCATCTGCTGCAGAGAGCCATATAAATCATGTCCAAAAGACAGGAAGAGAGAGAAAAAGACAATAAATATTGAAGTCAGAGACAAATCCAGAGATTCAGAGGCTAAGACACACTCACTAGTAGTGCTTCAGCCCTAGATTATGTGTGAAGCCACCTATGCCTTAAAGAAGGAAGACAGGTTTCCAGAGGTACCTTTGGGAAACTTCTGATACAGAAATGGTCAAGTAGAGAAAGCTCCAGAAAGGAAGAACATCTCTTTCTGTTCTGCAATTCTCTCTCACCTTCTCAATCTCCACTAAACTGTTTCATTTGTTGGTTCTGTAAATTGTGCTGGGCTCAGGCAGATTTATTCTCCAGGAGTCTCAAATGTCCACATTTCATACTACTCCCTGTTCAGTCCTCGATTTTGTTCTTCATTCTAAAAAAATAACAAACGAAAAACCCTCTTAATCAGCTGGGAAACTTATCTGACAAATGTCTTAAGTATGAAGATAGTCATCAGTGTCATGAGCCAACCCATGTTAACTGCCCATGTGGAGCACACTGCAGGAGGAAGCCCACCAAGGCTCACCGTAACAACATTCCTCACCGGTGGCCGGCTCAACTAATGAAGAAATGGACCCAGAAAATAGTAGCAGAGCAGGTCTTGCTCTCCCAAACCCACAAGGGCCCTCCAGGTAAGTACAAGCTACTGTTTTTTTCCTTTTCCCAGCTGGCCAGAGATAGTCACAGTGCTGGGGAGATGTCAGTTCATGGATTTAGGCACAGACCCATCTGGTTTAATTAATATATTGAGTATAGGGGCACCTGGATGGCTCAGTCGTTAAGCGTCTGCCTTCGGCTCAGGTCATGATCCTGGTGTCCTGGGATCAAGCCCCACATGGGATCAAGCCCCACATCGGGCTCCCTGCTCAGTGGGAAGCCTGCTTCTTCCTCTCCCACTCCCCCTGCTTGTGTTCCCTCTCTCCCTGTCTCTCTGTCAAATAAATAAATCTTTAAAAAAAAAAGAGTATAAAGAAGCTCTTTGCTATACTTTGCCAGTAGTTCTCTCTGGGTGATAGGGAGGAAGGTTTTTACTCAGCTTGTGAACTGGAAATAACTTCAGTTTTTTCGCAGCAGGGGCTCATATTCTGGGATTGGGGTAGGGGAGTTCGTACTATCGATTGAGATTTCTTGCCTCTGCATCTGATGTAATTTAAGGGAAACTTTTCAACATGACCTAGGGCTCCTTATTGGTTACTCTTTGTGAACCTCAAGCTGTGGGATCCTGCCCCATTCTTTAGAGGGGAAATATTCATGAGTGAGGTTGGTAGAGGTGCATGATTCTGTTTTCCTTTGCATACTGAAGACAAACACCTTATTAAGACTTTCCTTTTAAAGTGTTTAGGAGAGGCTGAATGACAGAGCTTTGGGAATCAATATTGGATTGAATATCATTGCCAAATATTAAGTATATCCCAAAGTTTTAGAAGGGACAGTATTTCCAGTTAGCCTCCTCTGAGGATGAAAGCAGGAATAGAGATTGAACCAACCCTTCAGAGCCGTTCCTTTGTGCACATGAAGTTGAGCGTTTCATTGACAAAATATATTCAGGTACATTTCTGTGTTAAAAAGACTGAGACACATAGGTAAACGTGCCTGTTTTTATTTTTACTCATTAGCATAGATCACTGGGAAAGAACTTGGCGTAGTAACCCTGAATTAGGACTTGGTTCATTTTTTGTTCCATTTTGTTCATCTCCATCACTGGCTAGACAGTGATCTTGGTCACGAACTTGGACCCTCTGAGCCTCAGCTTCTTACACATTTCCATGAAGATTTTAATTGCAAGATCATTTTTGAAAAAATAAACAAGATCCTCCTTTTCTGTCAGTTGAGAACTTTTCACAGAGAGAGAGGGAATTTTCTCATGGTTGAATTTCTGTTTAAACTTCACAGTGCACCTGAAATTGAACTTTCAGAAGTATCTCTCCATGAAAATCCCTTGCTGGAGAAGGCTGCTTCATCCCCACCATGCCATACATGGTTGATATTTTTGAAGAGGGAGCTGGAATTTCTGGGGGTGAGTGAGCATCTTCCAACCTCAACCAGAGTAGGACTGGCTCTAGGAAAGAGTATTTAGGTGCATGAACAGTTTCCCCACTTGGATTCATGAGGCATGAGAAATCTGGCAGATGAAGAGGTGACACTGGGCCCAGTTGAGTAGAGAGAAGCATTTCCTCATGAAGACTAGGATAAGAATGGCAAATAGGATCTGCCAACTCTGGTCAGTTGCTGGTGGATTAATATCATTAATATCCAATTAATAAGTTTTGTCTGCACTTCGATGGAAAGAACAATTATTGTTGTCCACCATGACTATGTAAATAAAGTTACATGAGAAATGTATTGGTCATTCCTGCATTAGGTTATGCCTGTATCCATTCTTAGAGCAGCCTGATGATACTAGAAAATACTGCGTTTGAATTCCGTCTCAGGATTGCCTAAAACCCCAAAGCAATTTCTCATGTTTGGCCTCAATCATAAGGAAGTTGATGAAATCTTGGGAAAATACCTTCTTATTCTATAGAACATATGCATTTTTTACAGGTAACACAAATTCTGGTTGGCTTGATATGTCTTTGTTTTGGAACAATTGTCTTCTCCGTGATCAATATTTCAGAATTTAAGGAAGACGTTTTTTCATCATTTAAAGCAGGCTACCCATTCTGGGGAGCAGTGTTTGTGAGTAAATATCTACAATTGCTTCTGAAATAACACTGCACATAGCTTTTCTCTTGTCTAGGTCAGGTCTAACCGATTATTTATTCCAGTATTTAGAGTGTATAAACATATTGCAGTTTACAAAGCACTTGGGTTAAACATGTTAGCACACTTTCATCAGATGAGAAACCTGAGACTGATAAAAGTTAAATGAATTGCCCAAGGGACATTTAGCTAATAAAAAATGAATTTAAACTTTCAGAATCCAATTCCAGAAAAATATCCCTAACACTATTTATCAATCAAGTTATCTTCATAAAGGCAGGGGAAGTGACCAAGGAGGTGAGGAGAACAAGGTCAAATGAGGTCAAAGACATCTGATGAACAGCTACTATGTCCTAGAAACTCTTTTAGGTGCTTTCTCATTGTATCTCCTTTAATCATTGTGCTGTTTCTAAACTAGATGACTGAATGAGACACAAAAATATATAGCTTTATTGATGTGTAATTGACATGCAATAAATTGCACATATTTAAAGTCTAAAATTTGATACATTTTGACACCTGTGTACACCTGTGAAAACATTATCAGATCAATATAATGAACATATCTATCACCTCCAAAAAATTCCTTGCACCCCTTTGTAATCCCTCCCTCTGTTCCTTGTCTTTCCATCCTTAAGCAATCACTGATCTGCTTTCCATCACTTTAGATTAGTTTGGATTTTCTAGGATTTTATATAAAGAGAATTATACAGCATATTCTCTCTACACTCTGTCTTCCTTCACTCAGCATAATTATTTTTGATTAATCCATGCTGGTTTTTGTATCAACATTTCATTCACAAGGACATACTTTAACTCTAAACAATATCTGATTGGCTTGGCACTCTGTTAAATACTTAGGACTTATCAGGTCACTTACCTGTTCATGACTTTCCTTGAACCTCTGCCATATTTTATTTGACCCTTCTCTCTACTGTCCTTCATTCCATACACTTAGCTTATTAGGTATCTCTCAACCCATCATACACTCTGAAACTTTGAAATTGTTTTGAATTTGTGCTATCGATTTATATTTTCAATAAACCTTCTCCCATGTACATTTTCGTAATTACTATATGTCTATATGACATATGTCAGACTTGAGATATACATACCACAAACACACGTTTCTTGCCCAAAGGAGCTGACACTCTAACACACAGGATGCCCATACAAACAAATAATTACAACAAATTAGAGTAATTTTATAACAGTCATGTACCAGGTCTGCTAGACCTTGCTACCCTGAAAGTAACCCATGGATTGTCAGGGTCAGCATCACCTGGGAGGCTGGTAGAAATGAAGAATCTCAAGCCCCCTCCAGGATCAACTAAATAAAAGTCTTCATTTTGAAACAGACCCATAAATACAGAGAACAAACTGGTGGTTGCCAGAGGGGAAGAGGTTGGGGGGATGGGCAAAATGTGTGAGGGGAGTGGGAGATACAAGTTTCCAGTTATGGAATGAATAAGTCACGATGATAAAAGGCACAACATAGGAAATATAGTCAATGGTGTTGTAATAGTGTTGTATGGGGTCAGATGGTAACCACACTTGTGGTGAGCATAGTGTAGTGGATAGACTTGTGGGATCACTATGTGGTACACCTGAAACTAATATAGCATTGTGTGTCAACTATACTTCAACTAAAAAAAAAGGAATCTGTATTTTAACAAGACTGTCACATGATTCATATGCACATTTAACATTGAGAAGCACTCTATAGTAAATAAGAAGAAAATAGTGAGCTTCTGGGGAATATGAATATATAGCTTTATAAAGTACCCACAACTTTACCTTATATTTGGAGGATTGGGCTGAAGGAGAAATAAAGGTCCAAGACTCACTGTGCTCTTCCCCCCTTCCTTTTGTACAGTTTACTATTTCTGGGTTTTTGCCAATTATGGCTGAAAAGAAACACGCTACTTATCTGGTGAGTTGCCATTCTGTCTTTATCCATCCTTGAGAAGATAAGAAAGATGAAATTTTAGGAGTCTTGAGAGAGACATGTCATCATATCCCATATTATGAGTGAACGTGGATATGTGGGGTTTTTTTTCCAACCTATTTTGTGTTGGATATAATCATTAAAAACATAATCATTAAAATATCAGCTTTTTTAGAAAACAACAAAGTATAACTACCTTGGCACTTGTTTAAAAAATATCCTCACACTGGGCCTTGTCCTTGTAAGTACAACCACATGATCAGATAGATGATTTGTTTCTGATTAAGGAGATTGTTTAAGCAGAGATGATGTGTGTCCATGTGGGTCTTTCTGAACATAGTCCTAGCAAGAAGATTATAGATGCTTATTAAACAATGAGTATGTTTCCAAGATATCCTTGTTTTAATTTACATTTTGAACCAATGCAAAGTTTACTGGGTGCAACCAGCCCTAAAAATGCAGACAGGCCTATTGAATGCACTAGCAGGTGGAGGCTCAGGTCTGAGTGTTGTGCTTCATCATCAGGTGTGGGGAACCCTGGGAGCCAACACCGTCAGCAGCATAGCTGCTGGGATAGGAATCTTCATCCTGACGGTCAACGTGAAGAGGAGCTTGGCTTATATCTACAGCTGCCAGGAAGCTTATAGAGAGGACTTCTGCTTTATGGCTTATTTTTCCACTGTATGTATTTGTTGTGCGAAGGTTAAGATCTGGGTCCCACTCTAAGTAAGAGCCCTCTTTTCCTTTTCCATGAACATCATCCTTTGCTGTAACCTCTATCCTATAATGTAGTGTTCTGGGGGTTCATGCACAGAGATGCTGGCTGCCGCTTCCTCCCCAGCTGAATTCTGCGAGGTTGGAGTCACCTGCCTCGAGCAATTTTGTGGCTTTCCAGTGTGTGTGTCGCTTCACTGGGACTGATCACGTGGGGGCGGGGGATGAAATGGTGATAAAATCAGGGGCTGCTATAAAGGAACACACTTTCAGGGTATCTACCTTGTGACTCTACTTGTCTTGTTGGTTATTGTTCGACAGGAAATTGTGGCAATGATTTTGTTTCTCACCATTCTGGGATTTTGCAGTGCTGTGTCCCTCATAATCTATGGGGTTGGAGAAATAGTCCAAGGGAACAAGGTAGGTAGAGGCCTGATACTCAATCCTGAATGACAAGCTGAAGAATTTGAGTTTCATCACTTAAAAATACAGCTTGGTTTTCATGGAACATTTCTTCTAGAAAATTTTTTGTCCATGTTTCAGTATTTTGATTTCCAAATCTCTTACTTTAAAATCACAATTTCCATTCATAAGAGCACAAATCTCATGGTATAGCCCCATGAATGAGGGTTAGGAAAGTGGAATCTTCATAATTTTAGAAAATGCAGATATGCTTCTAAGTGTGTTGAGCATGAGAGACAAATATGCAGGTAGCATATGATGGAAACCCTCAGGTATCTGGGCTTATTTTCTCTTCCCCAATAATTCCCTTATATTTGTTCCTGCTCTCTCCTTTTCCTTGGCTTTTACCTTCATATTTGCTCTGAAACCTCAGTTTTCTTTCCTTCCTAATTCACGGCAACCAGCTGCGTTTCCACTTGCCTTACCCATCCATTATACCTTTGATGTATGAAAAAGAATCACCAATACTTGAAGTGTATACACCTACTCAAGTCTTCCAGATGATAAACACTCTCTCCATCTGTCCACTTGCCTGAAGCATTCAAGTCTGGTGGCCTTTTTTGATCGCTTTCCTCCAAAGATAAATAAGACATCAGATATACCCAAGTTCAGACACATAATAGTCTCACCAACTTGTTATTGATGGACATAATTTCTTCTGGGCCGACTGGCCAACCAGACTGGCTTCATTTGTTGGAGATGGAGGGAATAATTATGGTATAATGAGGAAGAGTATGAGACTCAGAAAGGCAAAAAGAGATGAGCTAGGTCTTGCAAATGAGTCATCTAGTGGTGGAAAATTCCTGGTGACTGATATTAAATCATTTTTCCCTCATCAGATTGCAGAAGATCGTCTTTATGAAGAATTAAACATATATTCACCAATTTACAGTGAGTTGGAAGACAAAGTGGAGGCATCTTCTCCCGCTGATTCGTAAGAATCATGTCTTCAGAGCATTCTGACTCACAGCAAAGTGTCTAGAACAAAATTTTTGTTTAAGGGGCTACCGGCAAAATTTCGATTCTATGATCTGCCAGTTTTACATTAGGATTTATTCTCCAGAGGGTAATATTCTGTCTGTTGTTTCTGTTCACCTAAACTGCCCCCCCACCCATTTGTGGATATGTGATAGACTCCTATTTTTCTTGTTTTCTATTGCTGTCTCATACAGCAACTTTTGTGGGAAGTCAACATGTAATCAGCAAGCATTTGCTTTGTGCCTATAACCGTGCAAATAGAGGAAAAAGTGGAAGGTTGGTTGAGCGCTGAGTTAAACTTTGACAGTTTTGGAACACCTGGGTGGTTTAGTCGGTTAAGTGTCACACTCGATTTTGGCTCAGGTCATGATGTCATGAGGAATGAGATCAAGCCCCATGTCCAGCTCCTCACTCATTGGGGAGTCTGCTTGTGATTCTCTTTCCCTCCCTCTCCCTCTGTCCCATTTCCCACTCCATCTCTCTCGATCCAATAAATAAACAAATAAATAAATAAATAAATAAATAAAATCTAAAAAAAAAAAGCCTTTGACAGTTTGATCATGTTTGGCTCTTAGCCCTTTTCAGAGTTCAAAAGAGCTACACATGTGCATGATATATGTCCCCCTACTGGACTATAAGCACCTAGAGGGCAAAGCCCGTGCAGGAAACATATACTGAGGACAAATTACGTGTTTGAAATTTCCCACACTTGTGTCTTTCACCTCTTGTTTCCCAGTTCCCCTCATCATGGGAGCTCAAAGTGTATTTATGAAATGAATGGGTGAACATTCTGGGAGGGTATCCCACGAGGTCAGGTGAGAAGTAGAGTAGACAAGGAGAAAGAAATTACTCTGAAGTGAATTTTGAGGTGATAAGGAGACCAAATTGGCAGATATTTAGCATTAGGAGGACAGTCAGATGGAGATTTGAATAGAATCCTGCAGGTTTGTATTAATCATTTTGGTGGATGTTTATCCTACCAGCTTAGCAATGGATGCTTCCTGCTTATGTGTGATCTTATATGGAGAATCCAACCTGGAATGTTGAAGGATCATCAATCTTATAAAATGCATTGGAACCCCAAGCCTATTGCTTATTAGTTGCGGCAAGTTACTTAATTTTTTTACTTGATCTGGCTTTTCTCATCTGTGAAATTAAGTTATTAGGAATAATTTACCTGCCAGGATATTGGAAATAATTTACCTGCCAGGATTTGTGGTGGGAACACACACACACACACACACACACACACACAATTAAGACTAACTTTAATGGCCCCACTCTCTCATCTCACATCAGCACCCTGGCTTGAAACGTTCTGCCCTCTCTTTTGTGCTTGCTTAAATTTCTTCTTTGTTTAATCTCTTCCTTAAATCCCACCTCATTCTTTAGGGTTTTCTAGTCAAGATTGTTCTTCTCTCTAGATGATGAATTTTTCAAACCAAATACACACACACACACACACACACACAACTTACACTAAGTGTAACTTTCCACATGCATACATTTTACATCCCTTTAATGATAATTTTTTCAAAGACACAAAGTCTCATAAAAATCTGTATTATTTCCTGAATCACCAGCACATTCACTGACACAATTTGTTCAATAATGTTTGGAGATTGATGAGTGGGCAGTGGGGAGTTTTACTAAGTTACTCAGTATCTGGTGAGGTGGATGGGTGAAAACAGGAAAACCATGCATGGAAAGATCATTTAATGAGGAATGTGAAATGAAAATAAATTAATGAAGACCTGAACTAAAAGGGAATTAGTAGGAATGGAGAGAAATGGTCATATCTAAAACACTGAGTGAAAGAGAAATTGGTAGATCTTGTTAACAAGTTGAATTAAAGGTTAAAGTTAGACAAGCAATTGGTCAAAGGAGGATACCTGCTAAGGTTGAAAGAACTGATAGGAAGTCAGAAATATGAATTATTGAGAGAGGAGCACAGACAGACCTAAATTAAGCTCAGTCTCAGACTTTCATTTTTAGGTGACCAAAGAGAAATGCAATGGAGAGAGCCTGACAGTGTCCAATACAGAGTTTCGGGAAAGATGAAATTTGGTGTCATTATGAGAAAGCTCATCATTAAATGAAGCAGTTTAACACTCTGAATTATTTTGAGATAAAAGGGAAGCCAAGTTAACCTTCACATACCTATAATCACAGGGAAAAAAAGAGGAAAAACAAATCTAGCATAGAAGTTACGAGAATTATCAGAAAAATGCACTGTGAAGCAGTAGACAGCAGGCAGCTTAAAGTAGAGAAAGGTCCAATAAAGAGAGAACAACTCACCATCACGTGGGCAAGAGAAAAGTCTACAAGAGAAGTCTTGCCTCCAGCGTGGGTGAGAGAGAAGTCTGCCTCCAGGGGAGGCATGGAGATGGAGCAGAGCCAACAGCAACAGTGAATGAATGGCAGAGGGGCAGAGAAATTCGAACCAGGGCATGGTGGTAAGTAAGTGAATAAAACATTTGCAGAGGCATTTAGTAAGAGAGTATGTGATATGAGAAGTCAGAAAATAGATGGTGAGTAGCAAGTCATGAAGAAAAATAAGCAAAATGTTTTTGTTGCTCTTGCTGTATTCGTTATTAAGAGGAGGAAAAAGTAGTTCACATCTTAGGGTAAACAGACAAGTCCTGTGGAAAGCCTGAAAAATCATCTTGGGGTTATAGTCACAAGTCATTAATAAAATAATTATGTTTTATGTACTTACAGTGCCAAAATTAGAAAGCGACAGGAAGATATTAACTTCCCCAGACTATGAAAGTGATCACATAACCACATACTTGGTATGCTTATCTAACCCAGTACCTCAGGTTTTCTACTTTCATTTTTCTTTTTCCTCCTTCCTTTCTTTTTTTTTTTTAGATTTTTAAAAATTTATTTATTTGACAGAGAGAGAGAGGGAGAGAGAGCGAGCACAAGCCTGGGGAGTGGCAGGTAGAGGGAGAGGGAGAAGCAGGCTCCCTGTTGAGCAGAGAGCCCAACACCCAGGACCCTGGGATCATGACCTGAGCCGAAGGCAGATGCTTAACTGACTGGGCCACCTAGGTGCTGCTCTACTTTCATTTTTCTGAAATAAAATTATGTTTCTCAAAATTTGATAGCAGCGTAAAAATATACCCTTTCACTGTGTTGCTGCTAAGCGATATTCCCATTCTGGATCACATCACTTTTGTGGCATATACATTCCCATTCAAACTCCTAAGTCTGGTCTACCAGGACCTCTAGAAATGCATCCAGTTTTTCTTTACAACGCTACCATACATTAGCACTCTTTCTCCCACTCAATTCATATTTTAACCAAATTGTTGACTCTGTCTTTCCTGGATACACAACACAATTTTTGTCTTATTCTGAGAGCTTCCTGCCCCTGCCTGCCTTTTATCACGTGCCCACTTCAGGCATACACTGAGCACAGAACTGGCCTGCTCTTCACACATGCATTGCTTCAAATTAACTCTCTAAAAATTTCAACTTAAAAGGTCATCTTCTCCATGAAGACTGCCTGATAGCACACCTGTTCATCCAGACTTCATTTCTTGCTCCATAACCACTTTACCCCATGATGCAGTATATGATCATTTATTGTTTGTGTACTTGTGATCTTCTTGATGTAGCTTCAATTACTAGTATTTGTGCAATAAACCGGAATACTTTAAGTTGATTTCCTGTCTGTGTTTGTGTTTGTGTATGAGGGTAAGTGTCTAACCAAGAGTAACAGAGAATCAAAGCATCAATTCAGTGATGCCCAGGACCAAGAACAGTTTGTGAGTCCTCCTTTTTGATCAATGTTTTATCAAATGGAACAATCTATAAATAATCCTCTAGACAGAAAACAGTTTTAAGAGCAATTGTCAGCCACCTATTGCCAATAAATGATGGGATAAAGTGTAAAAGAAACTGTGATCATCAATCTCATTTTACAAGTTGGTTCTGACCCTAATTTATTTGCTGTGTTATGTAAACTCAGAACAATCTTCTCCCTTTGTGGACCTCAGGTTCTCTGAAAATGAGCAGAAAGTTCTTGAAAATGCAACAGAAGATTTCCAACTGATCTTTCTGTTTCCATATTCCGTGCTTTTGGTAATCACAATGATTAAGTTTATGGTTGGGATAGCAACAGCAATCAGAGCTATTTGATGCTGGTTGATGTATGGCCTAGTAAGGCACCTGGGACGATAATATTTGTTCTAACCTCCTCTGACAAAAGCTAACCAAAGGTTTCTTTCTGAAAACTGTCATAGAGATAAAATTTCCCAAATAATTCCTATTCTATGAAGTTTGAGTCCACCTACAAAAACACGGATTAAATAGGGTACTGTATTCATAATTTCAGCTTGATGTAGAGTGTTGAGGTGAATTTATATATGCAAGAGTGTGTAAATCCATTGATAGTCACTGTGTTTCATGAGCATTTTCCTCCCCTGGAAAACCTCTACTCACTGTGGAGTTAGTGTGCTCAATGTCTCCCCAAACAACTTCTCTCTGGGACGCCTGCTCTCTGGGACACTCTGGGTTTTGGTGAATGACATTGAGGAAAAGGGATTGTTTTGAATGTGAACTTTGGAATATAATATAACCAGAAGCAAATTGTAATAGCTCTATTAGATACTAGCTCTCTCTGGGCAATTTTATCTTAGTTTATTTTTCTTATTTCTTAAATGGATATATTAAATACAACTATTTAAAATTCATTGTGTATATTCAAAGATCCTGTAGCCAAGTGCCTAGAATGATGTTTAGTACCTATTTTTGCATTCACAAATGTTGATGCCTAATCATGAACCTGAAATTAGGAAAAGAGACACTGTCCCAACTTCTTAGAAGCCTTTGACAAAATTCACCTATACCTTGTCATTTCTAGTTGGAGAAAGTGGGTATGGGACCCTGGAATGGACCAGGGAAGATAATTATTAGCAGCCTTCACATAGAATATTTCTAGGTAAATTGA